AAAAAATTTTCTCACATAAAACTAGTGATAAAGGACTGATCACAAAAATATACGGAGAACTGATGAAACTCAACAAAAATAAAGTAAACAACCCCATCAAAAAATGGGCAGAAGAGCTAAAAAGACACTTCTCCGAAGAGGAAATGCAGATGGCCAACAAGCATATGAAAAATGTTCAACATCACTCATAATGAGGGAGATGCAAATTAAAACCACAATGAGATACCACCTCACCCCAGTGAGAATGGCACATCTTCAAACAACTAGCAACAACAAATGTTCGCGAGGATGGGGAGAAAAAGGAACTCTCCTGCACTGCTGGTGGGAATGCAACCACTATGGAAAACTGTTTGGAGGTTCCTGAAACTGCTTAACATGAAGCTTCCCTATGACACAGCAATCCCACTCCTAAGTATCTACCCAAAAGACACAAAACCACTGACTGAAAAAGATACCTGTACCCCCATGTTTATTGCTGCTTTATTTACAATTGGAAAAACATGGAAGCAGCCCAAATGCCCAAAAGTAGCTGACTGGACTAAAAAGATGTGGTACATATATACAATGTATATGTATATATACATTGTAATATACAATTACTCAGCAACCAAAAAAAAGAAACACATGTCTTTTGCAGCAACATAGATGGAACTGGAAAAGATCAACCTTAGTGAGATAAGCCAGAAATAAAAAAAATAATGGATAGTTTTGCTCACAGCAGGAGTATAATGGACCAGGCGAGAAAATAAAATGAATAATGAACAGGGCCCTCCCTGGTGGCACAGCGGGTTAAAGCACTGCATTAAGAAGCTTAAGCCACCTCCACATAAGTTCCATCCCTGCCTGCCCCGGAGAAGATCCACATGGCATGGCAGACCTCTCCTGACCTACCCACTGCTCCCCTCAGCAGTGTACTTCGTCGATCTGCCTGTTCTGCTCCCCACTCTGTCCCTGGTGAATCCTCTCACCCTCCACATCTCTGGCCTGTATCCCAGTTCTGTATGAATAAATAAATCTTAAAAAAAAAAAAAAAAGAATAATGAACAGCCATATATCAGAGACATTTTATGGGGTGGAGTGGGGAATGGATCAAAAGTGGTCAGGGGAGGGAAGTGCACTGGACTAAGGTGATGGCACATGGGTGACGTGGTGATGGGAAACACGGGGATTACAATTGAGATAAAAAAATGTACAAAAAGAAAAAAAAATAAAATATTATATTTTATATATATATATATATATATAAATATATAAAATGTCCAGGGCCCTCCCTGGTGGCGCAGCGGGTTAAAGCACTGCACTAAGAAGCTTAAGCCACTTCCCCATGAGTTCAATCCCCGCCTGCCCCGGAGAAGATCCACAGGATGCAGCAGACCTCTCCTGACCAGCCCGCTGCTCCCCTCAGCAGTGTACTTTGTCGATCTGCCTGTTCTGCTCCCCACTCTGTCCCTGGTGAATGCTCTCACTCTCTGCATCTCTGGCCTGTACCCCAATTCTGTATGAACAAACTAAAAAAAAAATGAAAATGTCCAATTTAAAAAAGAGAGCCTTCATTTATTAAGCAATCCTTAGTTAATCTGTTGAGAAAATTACTGAGTATATAGAACTGTATCTGTACTTACAATCTAGAACAATAGATACATTTTATAATGTTAGTATGGTTTAAAATGTAAATGGTAAGAATTTCAGAGAATAGAAAGAATACTGTAGATCACAGAGGTTTAGATGGATTCATGACAAAGATAGAAACCCAAGTTAGGACACACAGGTAGGAAACTAGAAAGAAAGACATCTGAAAATCCAGAAACAAGAATAATAAAACTAAGAAGGTGACATACTTAAAGGTGGGGAAAGCAAGAAGAAAATCAACCAACGATTAATATGATGTTAGAGAATAATGAGAGACTGGGCTAACTAGGCAAAACAAGGGAACGTAAAGAGTCTTAGAAGCTAAAAAGAATAATGAATACAATGGAATACTTATTAGTTTCCTCATAAAAGAATACTGAAATCGTTATATGTTAGCAAGATTAATCTAGCGTGACAGATTATAAGAGGAAAAGACATGCAAAAAGAGCAATGAAGAGGCAGCTATTTTCAGTATTGGGGAGCAAGGGTTAGTAAGACTGAACTTGGGACAATGGAATTGGGAAGAAATGAATCCATGGGAGACTTAATATACCTATTACTAATAGGCTAAGTAAAGAAGAAAAATAAATCCAGAAAGATTTAAAGATTATACAAATGAGAAGGAATAATATTACTGAGTATATGTTGTATGCTAGACAGCATAACAGACATGATTACATTAATTGTTCCACAAACTCTTTAGGAGATAACTATTTTACAGATAATCAAACTTACGTACAGAGCGACTTGCTAATAGGCGCTCTGACACACAGATTATCTGACATGCTAATACAGCACATTAAAAGCCTAGTCATCTGCCTGGGCAATTAACTGCCACTTACAAATTGCAAGAGTTCTGAAGTTGCTTAATATTTCTGCACATCAATTTTCTCACCTCTTAAAATGGAGGTAAAAAACCTTATAGAAAAAAAAAACTTTATAGACTGTAATGAAGATTAAATGAGACAATGTATATAGGACACTGCTATTAGTGCTAAAAAAATAGTAAGACTTTGATATGCTTGAAATTAGTATTATATCAGCAAAATGCAATGTCATCAGCATAAGGAAGACCCAGTTTTGAAAAAAAAAATTCAAATAAGATGAGTAGGAAGTGCTACTAAATAGGCATTTTTAGAAAAATGAAAACAAAAGATAAATGTAAAAATGAGGTTACAGAAATACCTATGTATAAGTCAAGAAATAATTTATTTTTAAAAGGTTACAGAAATGCTTGATAAAAGTGATGAGTCTGAATGACCTCAATTATTAATGGAAATTTTCTCATTCACAAATTCTGGTCATAAAAATTCACAAAAAGTATGATTTACTTTGTGTGAGCTATTCTGCTTGATGCTGAAAACAGGAAGAAGGTACTTTTAAAGTTATAATTTATATAAGCAGAGTAGATCTAGATATCATAAAACTTACTTTTATTTATAAGCTTGTAAATTGTAACAATTTGGGCCATTCTGGTGGTGAAAGGGGCTTAGTTTCGGCACTATGAAGCTATCAGCAGCCACTGAAGCATGAGTTCAATCCCTGACCAGCGAGATAACTCACATGGTGCAGCAGACCTCTTTCTTGTTCCCCTCAGCAGTGTATTTCAGTCAGTCCCGTCAGTTCTGCTCCCCATCTGTCTCTGGTAAATCCTCTCAAACGCCCCCCCCC